ACGCCACGATAGAGCTGGCGGAAACTCTCCTTCCAGGGATTGGCAAACTCCGATTCCTCGGGCTTTTCAAAGACAAATTTACACAGCTCCGGATTAAAGAGCGGTAAATCGTACTCGAAGACAGACTGATAGAGACGCTTCCACAATTCCGTGTCGTTGGCAATGGTATTGAAACGTTTGCACACCAGAGCCAGTCGGCATAGATCCTGTTCCAGCAGGTAAGAGAAAATGGCCAGAAGCACCTCATCTGCCAGCTCATACTGCAGATATTGGGCGGCCGTGGGTCCACCTCCGCTCGCCGCACTACCGCCACTGCCCGCTTCCATGCTGGGCATCGCCGCCGTATCGGCCTCCCCGCTCTGCGTGTAGAGGCGTCGAGAGCGTTTGCGTGCCGGCAACATATAATTATTTTCCTCAATGACCGCTGCTGCACCGCCCACTGGAAGCGCACCACAATGCTGCTGCTGCGGCACAGAACTATGCACATTCGGCGGCTGGGCAAGCGTGGCACCTGTTGTGGGCGCATTGTTTACGGGAAAGGTGGCGCTGGTCGATGGTGCCTGCACTATGGCAGATGGCGATGAAGACGACGAGGCTGATGACGAGCTTGAAGCTGAGGAGCTGCTGGCAGGTGATGTGCTGGGATTTAATAGAGGTGGCGAACTGCTGGCTGGACCAACCATTATGGCCACCGATTGGCCAGCGCTGGTGCCTGTGGAGCACCATTGGTCGTGGTTGCTCACAGCGGATATCTTGCGACGCAGATCATATGGCGACTGATGGCAGCAGGAGGCGCTGCTATTCTGACTGGCAGCCGATGTGCTGGGAAAGTTAGAGTTGCAGGTGAGGCTGTTGCTGCTGCTGTTGCTTGGACCGGCCGCCGACGAGGTGCTGGCCAAAGCAGAGTTGCCGTCGGAGGTGTCCATAATCTGCACAGCATTGTAGATATTACTCATGCTCTGGTTTTGATTGGGACCAGCGGACGGTCCTGTTGCACCATTGCTGCTACTGCCCCCAGCAGCGGCACTACTCGTCGACTGACCGCTGTCGAAGTACTCCGTGGAATTGCCGCTGCCAGGAGCAGCATTATTGTTACTGTTATTGTTGGAGCTATTGCTACTTCCAGCTGCTGATGCTGCCACGGAGGCTGTGCTTGTGGTTGCGGCACTGTTTTGCTGGGCATGCACAGACTGCTGCAGCATGGGATCCATTATATTGCCAGTGGGACGATTTGGCATGGCAATGCGATTAGCTCCTTTTCGTCTGGAGCGGCGCACATAGGTGCGCGATGATGTGAACGAGGCGCTGGGCATTTTTTTTAAATTGAAATTCTTGCTCCGGAGGAGTGCGGGGGAAAAGTCTTGTGGCGTTTAACACTTTTCACAATTTACCAACCCCAAACCCAATTCCACACTCACTCACACTTGCAAACACGCACACACACACAGATGCAAATGCACAGACACAGACAGAGAAACAGTTTTACTAGCCGATGACAACGGATTTTCTCCTTTCACTTGCAGTTCGCATGCATTGCTGCAAACTAAGCACTCTGTTCACAGTTAGTTTTTGATCAATCTGATTTATAAAAATAAGAGTTTATAGTCGTACATTTTTTATAAACTTTATTGTCGTTTATCGGCCAGTTTTTTGCCTGCTTCATCATCTGCTCTTCTTCCTATTGTATGTATTGGTGTGCGTATGTGTGTGCGGAGTTTTTCGGGGTTTCTATCCTTTGTTTCTCATTTGTTTTGTTTTATTTGGAAAGAAGAGTTGCACTAGCTATCACACTGGCGCCTGCTGTTTCGCTCGCTCATTGTTTCTTTTGTTTGCTCTTTGTGCCTTGCTTCGTATTGGCAGCTGAAAATTTCGTAAAGTTTTCTTCCTTATTTTCACACAATTTTAAATCAGTTGCACTTTTGATTGTGTTTCTGGCAACTTTGTCGCCATATGTGATTGCAAATCCGCACGATAAGCAAAATTTATTAATTTGCAAACGAGGCAGGTACGACAGAAACGAGCACGACAGGCCTGCAGTTCAGCCTACGATGACTTTTCGATAGCGCTGCGGTTAATAAGCCATCGATAGACATATACATAGAACAGAGTTGTATTTTCGTCACTGATTGAAGAATACTGCGTTATATCGATAACATCATCGAATACAGTTTTTTACATTACTATTCCCGCCACTTCGGGCATCACTCACCTTGGAATTGCGCCGTCTTTGTGAAATTCACGAATATTTCATTTTTGGCAAAAATCAATTTTGCTTAAGGTTTATAATGGCACCGATTGCAAGTCTTAGCACAGGCGTCATTGCGGTAAATATTTGTAGATTCTTTGTGTTGTTAGACGTAATAATTGATTTCGCGTTGCAGCGCATTATGAATGGCGAGGATGTGTCGCAGCCGGTGCTGCAAATTTTGGGCATCAAGCGAATTAATACCAATTCGGATCAGGAACGTTATCGGCTGCTTATGTCCGATGGGAAATATTACAATAGCTATGCCATGTTAGCAAGCCAATTGAATGAAATGCAGAACAGGGGACTGCTCAATGAGAACACCATTGTGCGTCTGGATAAATACATGACCTCCATGGTGGGCAAAGAGGGCTCCGGAAAGTAAGTTATATTTTGAATTTGGATGACAATGTTAGGCTTATCACGTGTTCCTCTTTAGACGTGTGCTCATTGTTACTGAACTGACTGTGCTTAACTCGGGCGATGAAGTAAAATCCAAAATAGGTGACCCTGTCACCTACGAGAACGCGGCCAAGCAGGACACCGCTCCAAAGCCAGCTGCTGTTGCGGCAAGTGTGCCAGTGAAAAAGGAACAGTCATACAACAACAACAATAATAATAACAACCACACAATGAATAGCACGTTGAACGGAACACTCAACTCGAGCCTCACACATCCCATTGCCAGTCTGAGTCCGTATCAGAACAAATGGGTAATCAAGGCACGCGTTACTTCGAAGTCGGCCATACGAACCTGGAGTAATGCGCGCGGCGAGGGCAAGCTTTTTAGTATGGATTTAATGGACGAATCCGGCGAAATTCGTGCTACTGCCTTTAAAGAGCAGTGTGATAAGTTCTATGATCTTATCGAGGTGGACAATGTCTATTTCTTTTCCAAGTGCCAGCTTAAGCCGGCCAATAAGCAGTATTCACAGCTGAAAAATGACTATGAGATGACTTTTACCGGCGAGACAATGGTGCAGCCATGCGAAGATGAGGACAATGGCGGCATTCCCGAAATTAAGTTCGATCTGGTGCCAATTTCGCAAGTAGCAAACATGGAAAACAAGGAGGCCGTTGATACAATTGGCATTTGCAAGGATGTGGGCGAACTGCAGGCCTTTACTTCGCGTACGACCAATAAGGAGTTCAAAAAACGCGAACTCACTTTGGTGGACATGAGCAATGCCGCCGTCACTCTTACGCTATGGGGCGATGAAGCCGTCAATTTCGATGGACATGTGCAGCCAGTCATCTTGGTCAAGGGTTCGCGCATTAATGAATTCAATGGCGGCAAAAGTCTCAGTATGGGCGGTGGCTCAATTCTTAAAATTAATCCGGATATACCGGAGGCGCACAAGCTGCGCGGCTGGTTTGACAACGGTGGCGGTGATAATATAAGCAATATGGTCTCTGCGCGCACTGGCGGTGGAAGCTTCAGTACTGACTGGGTAACGCTCAAGGATGCTCGCATGCGCAATCTTGGCTCAGGTGACAAACCGGACTACTTCCAATGCAAGGCAGTTGTGCACATTGTTAAACAGGAGAACGCCTTCTACAAGGCGTGCCCGCAAGCGGATTGCAACAAGAAGGTTGTCGATGAGGGCAATGGCCAGTACCGCTGCGAGCGCTGCAATGCCGCATTTCCCAACTTCAAGTATCGCCTGCTGATTAATGTGAGTCTCGCATCCCTTTTGCTAAATTTTTTAGTTGAATATAAAATATTTTGGCTTACAGATGAGCATTGGCGATTGGACCTCGAATCGCTGGGTGACCTGTTTCAGCGAGACGGGCGAACAATTGCTCAAGCACAACGCTCAGGAAGTTGGTGAGGCTTTGGAGAACGATCCAGCTGCCGCTGAGAAAATGTTTGCCGACATTAATTTCTCATCATACATTTTCAAATTGCGCTGCAAAAATGAAATGTACGGCGACATGACGCGCAACAAGCTAACCGTTCAGTCGATGAGCCCCATCAATTACAAGGAATACAACAAACATCTAATCAAAGAGCTCAAGGAAATGACAGGCATTGGACCTGCCCATTAGATTCTTCCTACGTGCTGCGCACATACCCAAACATTAGCAATAAGTTTGTTAGTTAAGCTTAATTATTATAAATACCGAATATGGTTGGAAATATACTAATGAAACTAATGAAATTGTTTTTTATTTTTTATTTTAGGACAATACGAAACTGTTTTAGCTTTCTCGCGGGCCAACTTAAAAACTCTGCGCGCTGAAAATAAATGTATTTATGTGTAAATGATTGATATTTTATTGATTTCTAGTAAATTCATATTTTTTTTATACTCTATGCGTATATGCATATAGGTATATATATCAAAAGATTTCATTGCTGTTGACTAGAAAGCTTTTCAGCTATTCAAATTGTTGAATTTGTTATTTTCTTTAGTTTTCTTTATAAATATGAGTATATGCGCTGATATATCTTACGTTAATAGAGGGACTTTATGCTTATATATTTAGAAAATGTACAAAACTGGAAAACGCACGAGGCTTTATGTATGATAGCTTTGAAATTTCAGATTGCTTATACATACATATGTATTATATATCTTTTCGCTAAATATGTATAATTGTGTTTTTTTTTTTATTGTTAAAGTAAAAACTGCATTGCACATTTCGTCGGTGTGTGTGTGTGTGTGTGTTTGTGTAAATTTTGCTTGAGTTTTGATTTTGGTTTAGAGTTTTGATTTTCCATATGCGAAATATGTATATATATATAAGTATATTTATAGAAATTTGATCTTTATTTGCTTAGATCTAGAAACTGTTGTAGCTTACATTTAGTTTATTTATTTTATTGCTGCGGCTTAGTAACTTTAGCGACAATTCCCCCTTTTCTGGATATACAATTATAACATAATCCTAACTGATATATATTTAATAAAAATTTGTATTTAAATTTTAAATTTCGTGTGGCAACCTATTTTTACAACTTGCGCTTTGGATTTGCAGCGAACATTTGGCACCAAGCATGTAATTAAAATTAAAGTTAATTAATTAAAATTAATAATGATTAATGATTAATGTATATTAATATCGACACAATACTTGTTATCATATAAGAAACTAATCCTCACTCTCTGCGGGTAACTCTGTTGGATTTCATTCAAATCAGCGTGGCTCGTAGACGCAGTCAGTCTGGGCGTGGACATGGGCTGATGGCACCTGCTGCTGCTGCTGCTGATGAAAATGATGATGCTGGCAGCTGAGCTGCTGCTCCAATTGGTAGCCATGGGTGTGCCGCTCCAGCGTGGAGTTTGCATGCGCCTGCACCGAAAAGCTGAGCCCACAGGAACAGTGCTCAATGTGCGGCAGCGGCGCAGTTGCCGGCATGGCATGCACCTGGGCCTGCTCCGTAATAATTGTGGGCGTCGGTGATGGCGATGACAGGCAGTCCTGGCAGTAGTGAGCCGACGGCCCAGGCGTTGGGGCATGCACGTGACTGTGTGTCCCATGAAAATGATTGTACATAGCTGACGTAGCTGGCGGCGGTGGTGCTGGTGCTGGCGGTGGTGTTGGTGGTGTCAACGATTCTGTGGAGGCGCTAGAGTCGCTGCTCTCGGTGGCCGTCTCCGTCGCCGTGCTGTCCGAAGTCGATGTCGACGAGGATGGTTTGTGTGGTTGATGCGGCTGATCGGGTGGATGATGGCAGCGACATATTGTAACTCAAAAAGTGCCGCCATCGTGTGGATGACTGGTGGATGTGGATGTGGCCGCCTCCACAGCTGTGGACGCCGGCGGAGCGAGCAGGCTACCTGCCAGGCCATTGCCATTGGGCAACTGATGCTCCGGCGAGCCGGCGCCGCCGGCGCCAACGCTGTCGCCATTCTGCTGTAGCTGATTGTTGTGTAGATGATTGTGATTGTTTATGGAATGATTGAGCGATGGATGTGTGTTGGGTGAGTGTGCCTCGTCGCTGGTTAGGCCAATGCCGCCTACTCCGTTTGCTGCCACGCCCAGTGATTTGGGCGGTATGGGAGGCGGCGGCACGGGTATATCCTCAACATCAAACGAGCTGGTGGAACTGTCCCGTTGAGTTATATTCATGGCGGACGCATGCATGTGCACATCCAGACTGCCATTGGAGCTGATGCGACAGTGCTCGCGATGATGCACGGTACTCATCGAAATGCTGGATGACTCCTCGCTCAGATTATTCAACTGGTTGAGCTCACGCGAACTGGTGGTGGAGATGCCCGAGTCACGAAAATCGTTGGGAGCAAAGCAAACGTTCAAATGGTTGCCGGCCTCCTGAAGATTATGAGGCAGCGAGTGCGGCTGCTGATCCGCTTCGGGATCATCGAAGCTAATGTCCACCACGGAGTACTTTTGGCCGTGCTGCTGCTGCTGGGCCGAGTGACGGCGCGCCGCGGCATCTGCAGTCATGCCGCCGCCAAAATCGTTGAAGATCAACGGATTTGAGGCACGTTTGTCCGGCGTAATGCCACGAGGCGGCAACGGCGGTGCACTGGGCGAGCTGTTGGGTGGCTGACGCTTGGGGGGCACCTCCGGACTGTCCATGGCGCCGTTGGTAGTTGTCACAAAGTTCTGTGAACGCGGCCGATTGGGCACGGGCGGCGCATCGCCCTGCTCAGCGAGTGGCAGCTGTATGCTGAGGCTCTCTTTGCTGAGCGTCTGATAGGAATTCATTGTTTCCACCGGGCGCAACGTGTCGCCGGGTCGCGTATATATCTCGTCCAGCTCATACACATAGTTGGCATTCGGCTGGCCACTGGCCTGCTGTTGGGCAGCGGAACGCTGCTCCGTGGGCAGCGGCGGCAGTGGGGTATTCACAATGCTCTCCGAGGGCTGACGCTTAAGCCGGCCCATGCCGGAGAGGCTCTGCTTCAGCTGAGAGAAGCGTTCCAGCAGGCGGTTGTGCAGCGGTTGTACGCCGGCGGGCGCCAGCTGTCCGTGCAGCTCCAGTGCCTGCTCCAGAATTTGTATCTGCTCCAGTATTAGAATCTTGAGCCGCTGCACGTTTGCCTGCTGGCCAGCGCCTTGCGGCGACTTGAGAAAGTGATCCGAGAAGAACGCCTCCTGATACTTACTGATGCCGCCCATGACATTGGCATCGATGGTGCCCTGCAGACGCATCGAGAAGGGATTTATATTGCGCTTTGGATCGCGCTTGTACTGTACAATTAGATCCGCCAGCTCCTTGCCCGCATTGTTGATTATCTCGCAGGCATACTCCACTGGCGTTAGCTCCTGCACGGACTTCTGCTTGACCTCGAACCAGCGCAAAATGCCAGGCAATGGACTGGCAATGTCCAGTGTGGTGCGCTCGATCCACAGCGACTTGAACTCGTTGTCCTTGTCAATGGGTCCCTTGTACATGGGTCGATCGTAGATGAAGCGCGTCACATCGTTCACCTCATAGAAACGGGCTATCTTCTCCGGCACGGGCACCATCGCTGTCTTGAGAGCCTGCGCATCGCCCACCGGACGCACATTGCTGATCTGTATATACTGCTCGGGTGCATTCAGTATAGACGCCTCCGGCGGACTATTGTTGGCCAGTATCTGTGCGCTGGGAAACTCCGTCTGCAGGCGCTGCGTAAAGGCACCAATGCGCTCGTATTCCAGGCCGCGATAGACGAACTGTTTGTTCTGTGAAAGATTGGCGGCGGCTCAACAATGACGAACTATTCACCAAACAGACTGAATGCTTACCCGCACGAAGAGCGGCAGGCCCATGCCATAGAAACCAACACGAAAGTATTCCGGCTCCGGACGCAGCTGCGTCAATATATTCTGAAAGAACTTGGCCTCCAGGATGAGGATGTCGCTCAGCTTGTTGTAGTCAAAGCGGCGCGTCTCATAGAGCTGCGCCAGCTCCTTGCACAATGGAATGCCCTTCTCCCAGCATTTGCCCTTATCAAAGTACTTGAGTATCTGTAAGCAAAGGGAGCAAAGGGAATATATATTATATATTCTAGCTGGTATTATCCGGCCTTGCCACGTCCAAGTTTTTAGCCTGTTATTTTTGTTTTAATTTTTTACCCATTTCACGTCCATTAAAAATAAATAAGCCACGTCTCTGGTTATATTTAACATAGATATTTGAAAAATGCTTTAAAACTATTTGAATAAAGAAGCCAAAGTTTCAATGGCCGCTTTTCGCCCCCTGGTATAATATTTGAAAACGAAATATAAACTTTCCTTCATACAACCTGTGAACCGTATTTTTTATATCAGTGAGCTGACTTTTGTGGGAAGTGTGAAACACTTATCAAATACATTTTCACAAAGATCTTTTAAAATGATTTGGTAGTTGAAACAAAACAAATTCAAAATGGGTGAAATTTACGAAGCCGCTTAAACACTTATCTATAAAACGCCTTTATTATGTAGGGCCTCGAAAGTAAGTGTGAAGCAATCGAAAAAAAGTTTGAACCTCAAAGAGAGATTTTAAGAAAAGTGTAAGACACGTTTCAAATCAATTTTTATAAAAATCTTTGGAAATGAGCTTGAGCTCGAAACTTCCCCAGCGAATCTTAAAACTATATTTTTAACACAGGAAAGGTTGGATTAGATAACGTATTAAATAAATTTAAATTTAATAACCGATTTCCGCCAATTTTCCATATTTGCGGGTGGCATTTTCCAAACATGAGATAAAGTAATAACAGTCAACATTTCAGTCAGTCAGTCAATCAGTCAGCCAGCTCAAGCATTTTTATATGTTGATAGAATGTTCAACTTATATTTGCAGTTACTTCTCGCTTACCTCGTGATACAGTCGCTCCTTGCGCTGCCACTCCGGCTGTCCACTGTTGTCAAAGGGCGCAAAGCTTTGGGTTTCCCGATCCCAGCTCAGCATGGAGGCATATAGCTTGAGCGTATAGCCCGCCTCCGTGTAGTTCTCCGCCTGTAGATGCAGATTGTGCAGCTTGTAGATGTATCTGTTGGAGGCATATTTGACTATGATTGCTTTCGATTGACCTGGATTGAGTGAACGTACCGAAGATACATCTCCTTGCGGTTGATTTCGTTTTTGTAAAAGTTGAGTAGATTGACGGTGCAGGTCATGCGTTTGTCCCGATTCTCCTCACCCTGCATCACGCTGCGATAGTCCAGGAGTCGTTCCAGTAAACGGGTAACCGAGGCTATGAAGGCAGTGCCCGCATCCTTCCAATTCGGATTTTCCGTTTGCACCTTCTCTAGCAAACTAGTTGGCCGAAAGAATAGATATTTATGTTAAAAACGTTTCCAATCTGCAGTTTTGGGTATTTGATTTTATAAAAGGAACTTAAAGTGACAAAGAATTGATTTCTTCGCATTGCCGAAGACTAGATACCCTTGCAGACATATGTTATACTTGCGTGTATTACCCAATTTTGCCCTGGTTATGCTTTTTTTCTTAAAATTCTAAAAACCCACATACAACCGTTTCCGCCAATGTTCCACAGTTGCGTGTGGAATTAGAAAAAATGCGGAAACACGTATTCATTAAGATTTTATGCAGTGTCTTGAAAATAAACTTAAAGCCAATCGGAGAAGACTTTAAAAATGTGAAGTCGGTTATATTTGAGTTTATGAATTCGCAGTAAATTTTGAGTTCTATAAAGACTGTAGTTTTGAACAAGTTGTCTACCTATAGTGGCTATATATATTTCTTACGTAATATTTAAAATGACTATTAGAAAAGTATTGGAAACATTTTAATACTTCTACTTTGTAAATACAATAATATATAAATGCAGAGTTGATTTCTCGGGATCGGAAAAGATTTTGAAGCAAGATCTCAAATTTCGAGACATTTTATAATGGCAGCTAGTTGACTAGTTTACGTAGAAACAGACAGATGGATCGGATAGTTTACATAGATAGTTTATCAAAGATATATAAGTATATGCCTGAAGGGTTTGGAAATGTCTTCTTTGAAGCATGACATAAAATTATAATCATTTCTACAAGGTTATAAAGAGAGAGAATACAAAAAAGAAAATCAAGATTTAATGTAGGCATAGGCGTCATATAAGTAGTATATGTATATGTTTATAACAAAAGGAGTTTCTACGACAAAGGCAAATAAATGCGAGTTGAACTTACACCAAGCTGAGATGTTCCCTTTTTATATGGATGGCGATTGCAATGAGTGATTGAGGTGAGACATTTATACAGACATTTATATATATACATATTGGAACAAACATTAACGAGTAAATATATACATATATGGTATATAGCTGGGAGTACTTACATGGTGCTAAAGAGCTCCCGATACTCGTCGTCGCCCTTGTTCTCGCTTATCAGCAGATCCAGCTTGTCGATGAGCTCGCTCTCCACCAGACGAAAGGAGCCACGTGCAGCCTGGAGGATTAGAGGAAGTATGAGATTTCAGGAAGAGCGGACGTAGGAGCCACACACTTACCTGCTCGCACTGCATCATGTCATAGAAGACCGAGAGGGTGGCTTTGCGCAGCGCTGGCTCCGGCACAAGGGTAACCTCTAGGAATGGGCCCACCATTGAGGGTATGAAGTGTAGTTTCTGCTCACCCAGCTGCGACCACATGCTGAGTATCTGGAAGCCCATCAGGACGCGCATATCGCCGTGTGAGTGCAAGATTTTCAGACGCTTTGGCTCCCTGTACTGTTCCAGCTGCAGCGAGGGCTGGGTGAGAAATGTGACCGCCAGGCTGAAGTAGCTCCACCAGAGCTGTGAGTCAAAGGCCTGCGGTCCGAGAAAACGATAGACCAGCGGCTTGGCAAACTCCTCGAGCGACTTGCGCAGCACATCGTTTGCGGCGAGCTTCATAATCAGCCAGTCGGTGGGAAAGACGAGCCAATCCTGGGTGAGCAGTTCCTCATAGACCAGCAGCGATTTGCTCAGAAAATCCTTCAGATCGCGCGGATCCTTGTTGGGCGTTAGCTCGTCCCAGTAGCGTTTATAGTGCGTCTCGTCCAGCAGCTGCAGCAGACCCAACAGGCAGGACACCAGCTGTGGCAGATTCGGATTGGAGCCCTCCATGATGATGCTAATGGTGCGTATCAGTATACCCAGAATATTCTTGCACAGCGAGTCCAGATCATGCTGCAGCGTGTTGGTCACCTTGTCGCGCTGCTCGCGCTGCAGCTCATACAGCTGGGTGAGAATCTGCGAGAGAATTTCGGCGCAGAGACGCAGTTCATCGCGTCGGCTGAGATGCATGCGCAGGTGCTTGCAGGCAACCGAAAGCACAACGGTGCGGGAATCTGAAAAGGGTTAAAGGAGTTGGTTAGCTGTTCTAGTCAGGGCCAGAGCACAAGCAAAGTAACTCACCATCCTCGTGGAAGAGCTCGCCTGAGACCAGATCCTTGACAGCCTGCAGCTTGGCCTGTATGAGCCGTATGGGCGCACCGCGTGGTATGGCATCCAGCATATTGCGCGCCAGCATGCCCAGCTCTGGTGCGGGCAGCGTATCCTTAAGCTGTTCAAGCACAACGCCCGTCGAGGCCAGCAGCGCCTCCTGGGTGGGTATTATGACATCGTACGACGGCACCGCCAACATCCCGTTCAGCGCCGTAAACAGCGAGTGCAGATCCCGCCTGAAGGAGTCCTCGTACTGACCGCCAGTGGCGCGTGCGAACAAACGACGCGATTGAATCAATAGCTTGAATATATACTCCAGCGAGCCAAAGCACTTCTGGAAGGGATCCGGATGCTCGGCCTTCGTCATGAAGACAGCCATATGTTCGACGGAGGTGATGAGACCCTTGTAGACCAGCGCCGCGGCAAAATGATTCTCGATATATTCATTCATGACGGGACGAAAATGTTGGAACTTGTTGCTCTGCAGCAGGCTGAAGATGCTAACGAGCACATGGAAGACCAGGCCCGAGTGCTGTGTGCTGTTGCCCTCCTCGTTGGAGAACATGGCAAAGAGCGCATCGAGCACATCTTGCAGAAATTTGACCAGCTCCTCATCGTTCAGCCGCAGCACGCCGGTCAGCGAGTCCTGTATGGTGTCGGGATGAGCGCGCCACTGCAGCAGCGACAGCAGATCCGCATTCTGCGTCAATTTGGTGGAGCAGAGCAGTGAGCGGAGCACAAATACCTCCTTGGAGCTGCGACTAAAGCAGCCACCGCAATCCAGCTTGGCCTGCGCGTCTCTGGGTCGGCATTGCAGCCGCAAATAGCTGGCCGCCTGCAGCTTGGCCGGATCCTCGCACTTGTACACGTACAGCTCGTGCAGGCCATCGCCCAGTGTGGCGCCGCTGGTGTCCATGAGGCGGGCAAAGCTGAATGCAAACAATTTCGGCTCCGATTTCTCACGCGTCGAACAATGCCGGAACTCGAAGCGCACATGGGCGGTGGCAAACTTATCGATGGGCACGCTCAGGCGCAGCATCTCATTCCAGCTGGGCGCGTTCTGATGATACAGTATCATCGAGCGGTATTGCGGCAGTGCATCCATGCCGGAGGCGCCCCACAAACAGTCGCCGAGCACATTGCCCGCCACATCTAGGACGACAACGGTGACCAGTATATTTTTGCCCGTATTCTTGCCGCCACGCTCGAATTCGGCGCGTTCCAGCGTGAGGAAGAGATCGTTGCGCACATCGCCCGGCATGATGACATCGGGAAAGCCCATTTTCCGTGTTATTGTGGTGCCCTGAAAGAGCAGCGGCTGCTCCTGCCGCGCCTGCCCCAAGCCGCCGTGCAGCAACTTCAGTGAGACGACAATGCCCTGGGTGCTTTGATTGCCCGGCTGTATGGGTGAATATTTGCCGCTGGATTTCTTGATAATCAGCTCGGGCAGCAAATGGAAATCCTTCTCCTCGCTCTGGTATAGCTTGAAGCTATACTCGCGCTCCTCCGACGACTGCTGCTCCAGGTTGCTGTCAAACTGGCAGATGTCCGCCAGGGAGAGCACGCCCACGCCGAAAGGCCGACGATAGGTGGGTCCAGTCAGGCAGGAGCTGTTCTTTTCAGTCTTCTTTATGGAATCTGATTGTATTATTTTGCCCACGCGCATAACGACGGCCACCAGATGCAGTTCCTCGTTGAGATCAGCGGCGCCTGCAAAGACACAAAGTTAGACGAGCTGCAACTGGCTGCAGTTGGGCAACATTTACCCAGATCTGTGAAGACGCTGCAATTACTGTGCAGCTTCTCAATGTAATTGGAGAAACCATCCTTGGAGATCTTGACGAGAAAACGCTCGGATACCGGACGCATGCGATTGCCATCGTATAGAAAGAAATAAACCTCCGCATCATCGCCGCCAATCCGATGACCAAAATCTCGCATGCAAAAGTACAAATGATGGCTGAGTATCTTGCGCTGGGTCTTCCTTCGCAGCGTGCCGCGGCTCTGCAGGGGAGTGGAGGGTAGTTGGAAATTAAATCTATGTACTGCCTGATTATACCTGTAGGGGTACTTACCGATGAAGCCTTGGCATTATCCGCGCTGCTCACATGCACATTGTAGAGCTTCACTATGCCAATGCCATGCGGATCGACGGCCAATGGACCCACGCGCGGCACCAGATCGAGACCCAGTTTGCTGCAACAGATTCAAGATTAAAGATCAAAGATCAATCAAAAAATGGGTGAGTATATTGTCGCTGACAAACGATAGGTGAGGCGACAATATAATCAAATGAGAACAGCTAAAATAACTTTGCCACTTAGTCACGTTCCGAGCTGCCTGATATGTAATCTGAAAATGAATCCACGGTGGGCGGGGAGGTAGCAGTCGCCGAGGGAGAAGACCGCATGCAAACCAGCTGCGTTTATTTGGGAAACTATCGGAGCTTAAATGACTTTGACGCATTCATTATTAATTGCCACAGTGGAGACGAGTTGTGCGCCAACAACTTGAATTCAATTTGGTCAGTCAGCGCCATGCGGCTCCAGTGGGGATCATTAATCAACGAGCGTTCCCAAAAATAAAAACTAAGAATACTGCAGTCGGGTGCAACCCGCTGCTCAATACTCGCTCCAGCCGGCAATCGAGTTGACTACGAGATACCCTATGCCTAGTGCCCAGCTGCAGTTGCCGGCATTCGAAGTTCCTATACCTTCTTCTGTTTCTTCTTTCCTTTGCCCAGCTTTATGTATGAGCCATGCACTCTTGGTATACCTAGGTGTTTATAGTCTTAATTATATGGGAGCCACCCAAGATCCACCCAAGATCCACCCGGACAAACAGACGGACGGACGGACGGACGGACAGATGTGGCTCGATCGTCTCGCTCAACGCTTCGACAGACGCACAAAGCCGATATACTCTTTAAACTTGGCGAATGGGTATCATAAAACAAGAGGCATATTAAAGGTAACAACAAAAGGTGTGCTGCAAAGATAGCTCAAGACTCTCCGGAGCGAGCTTAATTTTCTTCACACTGAATGATTTCGAGAGTTACGCTTGATCAGTGTTTGGCAGTTTTGTGAGCAGACATATTAATGCTGGAGAATATCTGTAAGATACAACGAGCAAAAACGGGTCCCAAAAGAGTAATGAAAAAGTGATTATAAGTCGCAAAATATGTGCTCTACATATAGGAATATGTCTTCTTTTTCCGCATTGAAGTTTTGTTTACTTTCCCATCTATTCTTATAGGCTCCACGATCCTAGATCTGTAAGTTGATTCAGCAATGTTGTCAAATTTAATTGCTTCAAAAGCTTGAATATTTTAGAATACAAAGTTACATTATGATCAAGCTATATGAATTACGGCCCTTCTTGAGTCTTAATAATCGATTTACTAACAAATATTAGTTACAGTCAAAATCTTAGAACGTGTAAAGTCGCCAATGCAAACAAATTATATGACCTTGAATAATTATTTATTGAAATTGAAAATGCCAATAGAGAAGAAAATCTAGCAGCAATTCAAAAATCCAATGTTGCGGCAGGATATTAATGAAAGGATATTGAAAACTCCCAGAAATATGAGGTAATTGTTTGTATTATTCTAGTAAAGAGCAGAAGGGAGCGAGTCTCAAAATAACAATATATCTTAATGTGTTATAATAATAATAATATTATTATTATTAATATTAATGAAATTACAAAGTATATGTATGTAAATAGAAAAATATAATAATGCTTAAGATAGTAATATTAATAATGTTGATAATGTAATAATTAATTTTATAATAATAAAAATTAAATATATAAAAATGTCAATAATATAATTGTTATAGTAAAAACAAATATAAATATAATAATGTTAATAATAATATAAATATTATTAAAAAGCAAAATATAATAATGTTAATAATGATAATGATAATAATATTAGTAATAATAAAAGTTATTATAAATAAATAAAAATCAATTTAAATCTGGAATACTTCTGACGATTCAATATAAAGTATATATTGTCAACACTTTCCAATCAACTAAAATTTCAAGTATGCAGAAATTCTATACTTAAGAAGAGCTAAAAGGTCAAATGGGTCAATTTCATCATAATTCAAAGGTCTGCACATTTCGAATACATTTCATTCTAACAAAATATGTCAAGCAACAATTAAGATTGTAATCTAAATGACAACAACTCCGCTAGCCTTATAAATTAGGTTCTAACGTGTTAAGAGCTTCCAGTTTCAGTTTCGGGCTAAAAAAAAAAAACCAAAAAACAAAAGGAAAAACAAAAAGCCGAGAGAAATTTACATTGTGACGATCGGAGTTAACGTTAAAGTTAAAGTTCTCTCGCATTGCCATTGGATCCGCATGATATGACGCATAAATTTAGCTTACAAAGTAGCTGCCCGTCTTGCGGCCAACTCGATTCGACCGGGCCAGCCAACGAGGCACAGACACATTCACCAGCAACAGGCACAGGCACAGGCACAGGTAATGGGTTCACGGCATTCCGGTGGCGCATACGCGACTTAACCTGCCTGCCGCAGCAGCTAAAGCAGCAGCGAGAGCCCATCCAACGTCATCAGCAATATGTTGCCGACGTCGTCGACGATGTTGCTACCTCGGCTACGCTTGAGTTTTCTACCTGGCTTACGCAGTGAGCGCGACGGCGGAGCGAGAGAGATGGCAAGTGAGCGAGCGGGTCTAGGCGAGTCTTCGAACGCGTTGGCCAGAGCAGCTCAAGAAGCCGTTTTTGTTGTTAACGAGGCCTAAACGACTTTGTCGTTGTTGTTGTTGTTGTTGTTGCTGTTCTTCTTCTTCTTGCTGCTGCCTGAGAGCGGGAGAGTGAGAGTGTGAGAGAGCGCGAGAGAGTTGCCAGCGTTTAAGAGTGAGCAAAAAAAACAATGTGGTTTCCATTTTGGAACTGGAACTGGCCAAGAGCAGAACGCTCTTTGGCATAGCTGTGAGTGTGTGTGCGTACGTATGTGTATGTGTGCGAGTGTGTGTGTTTTGAGCCACCTCTGTTACGCCTTAAACTGGGCAACTGGCAACTGGGTAGCTGTGTGCAGTTGACGTGACCAAAAGAAATGCCTTGCGCCTCAAAATGTATCTCATGGATACCAAAATATGAGAGGAGCAAAGCGAGGCGCGCGCGCGCGTGCGCAGTTGCGCTCGCTGGCTGCCCCGAGCTGCCCCGAACTGCCCCGCACTGCCACCGACTGTTGGCTGAACAAGCGATACATACGGTAGCAAAGCGCGTAATAAACCCCTTAAATCGTTTTTAATTAAGTCCCGCAACGCAGCTCAACAGGTGAACAAGCAAAAGTATCTAAAAAAAAAAAGAGATGCTTGGCCTGTGTGTGTGTGCGTGTGAGTGCGTGATTTATAATTTTTATCTTAATAAATTCACAAATTTGTTGTTTAATTAGGCGTCATGCGGCGTAGAGAACCAATTCCAATTTAAAGTGTTGAAAATTCTATTGAAGATATGATACGAAACCAGATACAACTCGAAGCTGTAGCAGAAGCAGACAAGGCGTTGCAAAGGTGATACAGAGAGAGAAAAAATTTAATTATTTACACATCGATAAGCAGCAGCAGCGCTGTCAACCACAAGCAGCAGCAACAACAACGACAGCAACGATAACAACAACAACAACAAGGGCAACACGTTGTTGGGCATTGTATCTGCATCTACAGGTCGCAGCAGTAACAGATACATTTTTATCACAATCACACATGCCATATATCTCGTATTTAATGTCTTTATAAAAGGTGTGTAGCTGTGAGATACATTTACAAGCAGCTATAGAAACCAGCACAGGCAACTTGTGGCAGGCAACGGGCAGCGGGCAACGTGCAACGTGCAACAGCCACAGACAATAAACAAACAACAAGCGATCGGACCAGGACACGCAACAGCAGCCATTTCGAAATGCCATTTCATTATGGCAGAGTCGAAAGCGACCAAAGCCAACCCGAAATGGCTGACTCATCTGGCCAACAAGTTGCCGCCACCGCAGCAGCAGCAAAGGGGTTAACCAAAAGGTGGAGCAGGCATTGAATTTACGCCTGGCAACAAGTTGGTCGTCTTTTCTGCTCTAGCCGGCTCCACTAGTTCTCGGCATGCAAATTGCACTAGATGTGCGTGTGCGTGTGTGTTTGGTGTGTGTGTGTGAGTGCGCCGCTGCAATAACCGACAGCCCAGCGACACACTTTAACTCTGGACAGCGCGATGTCCGCACAGACGCACTTGGTCAGCCGCACTTGAGCACGCACGAAGGCAACCAAGTCTAGGCAACTTGGCTCGAGACATGAATGCTCTTCAAAATGATTACTATGGCATTAAAAACAGTTTAATTCTGGGCTTATAATTCCTATGCGATCTTCAGATCTAAGTAAGATCATTAGCAAGAAAGTACGGAAAGCTGAAGTTCATATATCCTTGAAGACCTACAGCTCATAGGATTTGCAGATGTGCCTGGAGAATTGTGAATTTCGTATTTGAAAAAAAAGAACATTTTCCGAAACAGTACTACGATGTTTATAAGATTTTTCTCATAAGGAGGAAGCCTAGTAAAACTAATAAATGCCGAGTTTGATCAAGATAAGTTGAAAAACCAAAAAGTTGTTTATACATTATAATAATTTTTGACGGAACATTCCCTGGACAGCCTGATATAGTGATGATGATACTATCGGAATCAGCGAGGCGAAAGGTTTTATGATGTTGCCTTTAAAACTGAGAGACTAACTGGCATTGAAAGAGCGAGAAGGACGCGACTATATCAACTTGGCTGTTGATACCGATCAAGTATATATATACATTAATGGTCACAGATGTCTACTTATAAACATTTCATGACAAAAATATAATTTATTCTACAAGGATATGTCGAGTAACAAGAATTTTGATATTTTTTACTTTTTGTAGAATTAAATTTTGCATGCAAAGTTAAATAAATAATTGCCTTTCGTGTATTATGGTAAAGATGATAGAAAGTATTTGTGTGTTGGGTTGAAAATAAGTTGAATACTGAGAAAATTCAAATTTTGACATTCAAAGATAAGAATGGAAAGTTAATGCGGCTTTCAAGAGGAGAAGGTGATGAAATAAAAAAGAGTTATAATGCTTCAGTCAAAACTAAAAGAACTAAGCCAATTACTGAGAATAATGCTCAAAAATATTTTTAAAATTAACTAGTACACGGCATATTTGGAAAATATTACCATAATATTTAAAGAGCACTGAAGAGTCCTTCAACTGAGACAGCGCAGCATATCTAAAAGCCTTGGAGTCAGGTTCAAGCCCAGATTCATATTTTTCAGTTGTCTAATTGACCTAAATGACTTGAATAAATAATCTATCAAGAACTGCTATGGTACGTTAGATTTCATACTGGACATTTTCGTGAATACAATATTCAATACATACATTCAAAAACTTATTTTCCTAAATTGCCACAAAAATAACTATTTTGTTACTATCATAAAATATTTTCCTAATAATCTTTATAATTAATGTTTGAAATCATTAATTAGAAATTTTTCCATTTCCTCCCTAATTTCTGAAACTTAGGAAAAAACCTTTTTGAGTAAATGTGCACGTTTTTGAATGAATGAAAATTGTGATTTACTCGTGAATCTAATGAATCTAAATCTAACTGTATTTAGAGTCTAGTTACAGATGATAAGGCTAGATTAAGTCCAGTTAAGATTAAAGTCAGACAATTTTATGAGTTGCTTAAGCTGTGCTAATCTTGCCGCAAAGGGTATTCAATGGCTTAACAAACCCAAACTGAGGCGGCTGTTAACTTATTTCGGCTAACGTTGCGTTCGGACAATGTGCTTTAGCCGCGGCCAGAACCAAAACCGGGCCCAGATCCAAGCCAGAACCGATAGAGTTGTACGCAGCGCTGCGGCAGTGGGCGCAGTCGCGGCAGCAGGTTTCTTATGAAGCAATAAATTTGAATCGGCTGTCGCTGACAATGTGGAGCGAGGCAAGATAACTTTCGATCCAGATATACGTATATGCATATGAATGTACATATGTATGTTGTCATGGTCTGGGGTTAAGCAAGTAAGTAAATCAACATTGAATGCCATTTGCCTGCTCTAATGCCGGGCTAAATAAATAAGCGATGCAAGCGCTCTACCTGGAGTTGGTGGCCGATACTGCGCCCAGGTAACCAGGCCGTGCAAATGCAATCTGAGCGTAATTTCCAAGACATGAGCCGGAACCAGTCGGCGATTGTGATCAAGCAACTGGTTCCCAGAGAGACAGACTCAGAGAGCGATGAGAGAGAGCCAGAGGCAGAGCCAGAGAGTGTGAGAGAGGGGGTGTAGCTGAGCTCCAGAGAGACAGCGCGTATCTGTGAGTAGCTGCTGCTGTTGCTCAAACCTGGCAGCGTTTCGCGTCAGATTCAGTAGGTTTTGGAACGCCGCTGAGCGCAGCTGCACATATTTAGAAAACGGTAATCACAGCCAAACATCAAGCTGAAGTTTTACATTACACAAAAAAAAAACACACACACACACATATACACAGTTGTAGATACAGATACATATGCAGTTACAAATGCAGCCAATACAGCTGAGGCGATTGTGTGTGCGTGTGTCTGTGTGTGTGAGCGAATAGCCCAAACAAAATTTGCAACAAAGTGTAAAAGCTCGAAACAACAATAAATATTAACAATAATAAAGGCCAACGCAACGCGCTTAAAACAAGTTTCTTGAATGTGTCAAAAGTGGCCATAAATTGTACGCGAAATGCCAAATTGGCAGCAGCAAAGGAATCACTTTCAAGAATAGCGGCCCAAAAGGCTGCAACCAGGCTAAGCTAATCTTGGTAGCGCAAAAAAAAACTACAGAAAAATGAAAAAAACGGCAGCAAAGCGCAACAGTGGCAATACACTAACCGACCCGACCCGAGCCGAACTTGGAAGCCTCTCGCTCTCGCACAGAAAAAAAAAAGAAAATACCTTAAAACCAGTTTTTTGAAAAATTTAACGAAAAAAAAGAAAAAAGCAGCCGCAGCAGCAGCAGCAAAAGAATTGAAGTTGAAATGAAGTGCCTGGCTCTCTCTCTCCCTCTGTGTATGGCGTGTGTGTGTGAGCGTGCGCTGTTTGTGTGTGCATGTGTGTGTGTGTGTGTAGGGCATGAAACATTATGTGTAACTTTCAATGCTCAGTGCTGAAGGCAGAAGCTGCTGCATTTTGAAAAAAAAGGAGTAGCTGCCGCGGCCGCTGCGCAGATGCAGATACATTTTGACTTTAATTGCAGCGTGTGTGCGACAGAGACGACTCTATGTGTGTGCGTGTGTGTGTATTGGAGATTTATGCGATATGCGCTGCTGAAACGAAAGACACACAGCTCGAATTTAAAACAACAGCAACAAACACGACAAATTTGCATATAAACAAAAGCGCCAAAGAATTTCGTAGCTAAGAAACTCAAAAAAAAAAAACAAAATTTGAAAGAAATGGAAAAAAAAGAAAACAAAAGCCAAACAGAACCTGATCTCGATCTTATATGATCGAATTCGAATTCGAGTCGTTAGCTCATATATGTACATATGTATATATGTAGCTGAGGACTATACAAAAGCTTTGACTTTCAAGTGTGTGCACAGAGAGATTTGTATATATATATATATATATATATAGCGTATAGTTTTTATGCAGACATATAAACAGACTTGCCTCAAAGTGAAATTTATGCGTGGGTTGACAAAAGCTTTAACCAGAGCCACAATTTACCGGTTCTGCTGGTGGCCCAAGACTCGCTTTGAGGCCATTCAACTTGTGTGTGTGTGTGTGCACAGAAGACAAAGATTAGATTAGATTGTGCCACAAAATAAATAAATAGTTAAAGAAACAAAAAAAAAAACAGATCTATCTATGCCTGACTTTCGGGCCTCAGACGTAGAGAGAGCGAACACTTACCTAATTGTAAGTGCGGCTTGTAGTATGCCGATAAGAGGCAGCCAGCGGAAATGTGTGCTGTAGTCGTGCATCATCATTTCAAATATGTCACGTTGTGTGTTGCGCCAGATAACGCAGAACTTAGACGCACACACACCGAGATACACAATAAATATATGTATACACACACACAGTTACACCATATAAATTTCCACATTACAGCCTGTTGTCAGCGTCTAATTGCATAATAGGCAACTATAAACATAAATGTTTCCTCTTATTTACAGCTTAGCTGACAACAATAACAACAACATCAATTAGCAATAACAATTTAAAGAAGAAGCAGAAGAAGAAGAAGCAGCTAGCATCATGGCAGTCTTTGGCATGGTCTCGGCTGTGTCCAGCTTTATCAAGATACGCTATCTGCTGGACAAGGCGGTCATCGATAATATGGTCTTTCGCTGTCATTATAGGATTACCACAGCCATACTTTTCACCTGTTGCATTATTGTTACGGCCAACAATTTGATTGGTAAGTGCTTTTTTTTTTGTTATTTTCTTAAGCACGACTCGAGTTCGATACCTGTGAAAATTAGTGCAGTCTATGCAAATGTGTTAGCCATGCATTTGGCCATATTTGTGCATACATATTACACCAAATGCGCCAATGCAGCAGAAAGAGTTAACAAAAGAACTAAAAAGACTGTGACGGCAATACACGACTGCCCCGTACTCTGTACCAAATGTAAACTGGGACACTGAGAACACAAGAATATTAAGAAGATAGTTCAGATCATAATAGTGTGAAATATTCTGCGCTTAGTGTAAAAACAGCTGAGAACAGTATAGTATAAAGCTGGTATAGTTCATATCTTAACACTGAGAAATATTCTGTACCCAGTGTAAAAACAGCTGAAAACAGAAGGGAAGACAGCTGGTAGTTAATATTTTACGATCGTACCCACTACGATCCGTACCCAGTGTAAAAGCAGCTGAAAACAGCAGAGTATAAAGCAGGTAGTTCATATCTTGGCACTGAGAGATATTCTGTACCCAGTGTAAAAACAGCTGAAAAGTGAAGTAAAAAAATTTTACATTGTATTTCGTGCCTACACAATACTCTGTTCTCAGCTACGAATTTTTGACTCTGAAAATGTAACTCAAAATCAGTGAATTTTAAACTTGGTAAATAGAGATTTTTTTTGCGCTAAGACTCTTGACTCTGGAAAATGTTTATCAGGAAGCGTAGAAAATCATAGCTCGAAAACTGTACAAACTGTGCGCAAACAAAACTTTAACACAAACTATTCCATGTTTAAACAAGTATACATCTAGACTCACACGTCATTGCCCAAAACCGAATATACCCCGCTTGCCTTTTGTAAGTAGTGTAGAAAGCACCTTAGTGCTTATTGAATTTTGAAACCCATTTGAGCTTGCCCAATACTCAATGGTCCGCAAATGCCTGTGGCACGTTCATCAGATTTCAGACGAACACTCAAATGACTCGAATGAGTCAAATGAGTACAATGTGAGTCACAGCGGGTGGTTGCGTGTCGTGGCTGTGTGAAGATCCATGTAGCGGTCCGAAATAAATGAAACAAGCCAGACAACAAGCTTTTTCGTGTGGCCAGCCACAGCAGCACGTCTGAGCCCGTTTGTGGAGTTGATTTATGGCCAAAAGACGCAGCCAGAGCCAATGTTTGTGCATTTAAAAGAAGCGCTCCAAACGTATATGGTGCCAATATAAATATTGACAATTGAGTTCTAGGAAACTTCATACAAACCCTAAAGCACCGCGCACCCCTCCCCCTTCATCAACATTAGCTAGTTGTTTACGCAAGAGCAAAAGAGAGAGAGGGAGAGAGAGAGAGAGAGAGAGGGAAGAGGAGAGCGCGCGCATGGTTCTAGCTGGGCCGGCACACCCATCATCAGGTTGTCAGCGCCCACAGAGAACATTCCTCTATGACCAGGGTTAGAGATTTAGATTGGCTTAATGCCACTTGACGTTGATGAACGACATTTGACTGCACTGAATTGAAATGGAATGAGGAATACAAGTGCATTTGATTTAGATGTACACAGAGGGAGGTCACCGGCTCAAATCCCCAATTCGCCTAGCACAAAAAACTAATTCATACTATTATTATTGTAAGTATATTATATAGCTACAAACAATCAAGCAAAATTTTTGATTAGCACTGGCAACTATGGCCGTCTGCAAAGATAAGGCCTGGGATTCGAGCCCGGAACTTCCTTGTTCAGCTGTTAGTCATATACTGGGTCCACGCATCTACTAAGGACTGCATTTGATTATTGTTAGTAGAGCTTAAAGTTACAAGCTATCAATCCATTTGGTACTGTGAACTTCGATTACCACATGACTAGTCTGGGATTTGAGCCCGAAAAGCTGCCTTTTCTTTTCCAGCTGCCTATTTATATATCATTAATATGCACTTGCAGGTGATCCGATTAGCTGCATCAACGATGGCTCTATACCCATGCATGTGATCAACACATTCTGCTGGATAACATATACCTTCACGATACCCGGTCAACAGCATAGGCAAATCGGCACCGATGTCGCCGGCCATGGTCTGGGCAACGAGTATGGCCAGGAGAAGCGCTATCATAGCTACTATCAATGGGTGCCCTTTGTGCTGTTCTTTCAGGTAACTCTGCAAGTCCTGAGACCTAAATTGACATTCTTGACTAAATTCGTTCTATTTTTTAGGGTCTAATGTTCTATGTGCCCCATTGGATCTGGAAGAATATGGAGGATGGTAAAATACGAATGATAACTGATGGCTTGCGCGGCATGATCTCAGTGCCGGAGGATTATCGAAAGGATCGACAGGATCGCATCATTAAATACTTTATGGAAAGTCTTAACACGCACAATGGCTACTCGTTCGCGTATTTCTTCTGCGAGGTGTTGAACTTTGTCAATGTGATCGTCAATATCTTTATGGTGGATAAGTTTCTGGGCGGTGCTTTTATGTCCTATGGTACGGATGTCGTCAAGTTCTCCAATATGGATCAGAATATGCGTTTCGATCCCATGATTGAGATCTTTCCCAGGCTGACCAAGTGTACATTCCGTAAGTTTGGTCCAAGTGGTTCCCTACAGAAACACGATACACTCTGTGTGCTAGCTCTGAATATACTCAATGAGAAGATCTATATATTCCTGTGGTAAGATCAGTTACACAAGCTAATCGAGTATGTTTCTTAATGGAGTTCTTATTGCAACAGGTTCTGGTTCATTATATTGGCCACAATCTCGGGCGTGGCTGTGCTCTATTCCCTGGTGGTTATCATGATGCCCACCACACGCGAGACGATCATCAAGCGCTCCTATCGCTCGGGTCAGCGCAAGGAAATTGCCGGACTAGTGCGGAGTTTGGAGGTGCGTTGCGACTATAAACTATGTGATATATATATCTTAAATCCTTTTGTTGCTTTTTGCTGCAGATTGGCGACTTCTTGATCTTGCACTTCCTTAGCCAGAACCTGAGCACACGATCGTACGGCGACATGCTGCAACAGTTGTGCGGCTTGATGGCCGCCTCGCGCACACCCTCTGCCCCCTCGACGCTGGAAATGAATCCCATTAGCCATTCAATTTATCCGCCCGCCGAGCTGTTCGGCGGCAAGGAGACCGAGACATAGGCGCTATAGCAACTATTTGGCGCTAATATACAATTTCAATGATTTCTCAATAATATTTTGTAGCCAGAGATGTGACCAATTCGAAGGTGTTTTTTTCGTAGTAGGTGTTCTAGGCTTTTAGGCTTTCTAATATAATATACTAATATATATGTATGTACATCTCTAAGACTGTTTTTAAGTGGAAACATGGAATTTGAGGAAACGTCAGAAAAAAACAAAACGAAACAAATATAAAAAAACAAAAAGAATTCTTTAGCAAAATTTTAACGCCTATATAAAACAAAAGCCCTTAGACACACACTTAGAGAGAGAAAGAGAGAGAGTATGAGAAAGTGCAAGTTAAATGAAAGAAAGAGAGAGATAGAGAGAGAGACACTCAAACACACATACACACACACACACACACACTCACAGGCAGACCGTGCAATTTGTAGGTTGGATTTGTGGAACGATAATGAATATTAATTATCCGATATATGCTTATACTACTACCTAATACAAAATTGTATCCGTAGTATAAAGTTAACAATGATGCGCCATTTAAATATATACAATTTAGTTTACCGCTTAGCTCTATAGTTATTTGCTCTTTGATCAAGCCAAGATCGCAGCTCACGAAACGTTGATCCATATATATATATATATATATATATATGATCTATATATATATATACACAGAAGAGACATACTTGCAACTAAATTGTAGTAATCGAATGATAAACAACAACATCAACAACAAATTATAAAAAAAAAAAACAGCAAAATGCTCTCGCTATTTTTGTCTTAACGTTTAGTATACACGCATATGTATGTAATTTTAAGCAATTTTGTTTATAACAAAATTATTGTGATTATTGCTAGAAAAGAACACATTTTACATAAAAAGAAAACAAACTATCTAAGTTTTAAATTGTAATAAATATGAAATACGAGTCTATTCAATTTCAGTCTAATTTGATACGTTTTCAGTTTGAAAAGCTAAAGACCATTTTAGAAAAGAAGGGTTTCCTATATACCTGATACCAGAGAGGCTGAAAATACTTGTTGATCTGTGGGTGAGCTTAGAATTCTTGGAATTTAACAATCCATCGGATAAATTGTAACTTTAAATTAACTCAGGAACGGCTTAGAGTAAGATATAGGAAACTTTATAATCTGTGGACTTGTATCTAGGAATTTGTTCTACCGAAGCCGTTTATCTGATTAATTTTCAGTCTGAACAATTAAAGATACAGTTTTAACTATATATCTCAAATTGGGCAGGCTTATAATATCTGTATATGCAATTGAAAGAAGACGTCTACCTATATAGAACTTTAAATTTATTTGATTAAGACAATCCACTTGATTTAAAATTGTTTACCGATATCTGTTTGTTGAGATCGATTTTGTGGAGGAAAAAACTCATTTGGATATATGTATCTATTTAAAAATGATTCTTTGTTTGCCAATGACTTATCAGAATTGGGCAACATTAGGGTGAGGCACTAGCCCGCATTATAGAGCCCCTCTTAAAATGTACTATATAAATAGATGAAATACACATTTTAAGGGGCATGACGTAATTTGAATAGTTAAAATTTGTCTTGACTCTGCTTTACTAAAATATTGCATAACTATGTGTATATATGTATGTATATGTATATACTCATGAGTCTCTCAGTATTGATTAACATTTAAAAACAAAGGGGAATATGTATATGTATGGCATATTTATATAACTTTAAGGAACCAGTTGAGATTGTGTTACTAAGCGGGAACTGGAAATGTTGATCTTGAAACCCCAAACTGAACCTAAACGTTGATAGCAGCTGAAATCTCAGGGTGCCTCGTAACTTTATGGGTTTAGTACAGAAGTCGTTCGCATATAAGAATCGCGCCAAAGGTTATTTTACTGTCGAAAAATGTCAATTTCTAGTAGAACTTTTTACTATATTAATTGCAATGGATTTTTAAGAATTAAATGTAAGCAAATTTGTTTAAATTATAATTTTGGCGATAGTTTTTTTTTGAGTTCCAACATTCGAGCGACTACTGTACTATACTATTAAGCATATCTTTGAATAATTGCAGCTCCTTGACTTACCGATTGCCCCAATCAATTTTGGATACCACAACCATTTGCAGCTCAGTCGTTTGATCCTGTGTCATGGTCGCGCCTAGAAGCTCGCGGCGACTCTCCAAAATGGAGTACATAACTTTGCGCAGCGTCTGAAACTTGTACGCCTCGCGATCCTGTCCAGGAAAGTGTCAATTAAGAAATGATCCCACATTTATCTACAGGCACTTACCACATAGAGGCGCTTCCAGATCTCTGACCATTCGCGCAGCACTTGGGTGCACTCGGCAACGACAGGATCGATTTTCGACAGATCCTTGATGTGTATGTAGGTCTTGGGGAAGATGCCAACGGCACGCGATCTGCGCGGACAGGAGCCGCGAAACCAGTGCCTGCACTCCTCAACAATATCCACAGAGTCGCCAACATCCAGGGGCAGGCCAAAGCGCACGTCGCCATGCCAGTTGTGTATGGCTGGAAAAAAAAATGGAGAATGAGATGGAATAAATCTTAGATGCGATGGTAACAACCAGTTGCGCGTTGGCCATGACATTGCCCGGGAGATGGGGCAGAAGACACCAGGCAACAGTCAGGCGATTGCAGGCAATTAAAGTGCCTCCATGAGTGGCTACTTGAGCATGCCACGAGTGGCACAACAACAATAAATACTTCAACTATAAATAGGCAAATGGCTTTGGAAACAAAATACTCATGCATATAGGGGGTGTATGTCTCTCAAAGAGCTGCCAGCCAGGCAGCCTGGCAGCCAGGCAGCAGCAACAATAACACAACATCAACTGCCACAAGCAGCACTTGGCACTTGGGCACGCCAGCAATTGAACACTTTGCTTGCAACCAATGAACAATAAAGAGCGACCGATTCAGCTGGAGCCGAAGCTGCAGCTGAAGCTTCGGCCAGGGAAGCTGCTGATAAGTAGACATATAAATCCGCAACGTGGCCGCCATGCCAGCCAATTACAAATGCGAGGCACGCACTGGAGTCCGGCCGGCGCCGCAAGAGCATGTTGCTCTCCGCTGCCAGGGAAGCGGGGCTGTAGGTGTGTGTGTAGGTGTATGCAAGTGTGTGTGTGTGTGTGTGTGTGTGTTTGCGCACGCTGAAAGACAAACGAGCGAGCACGGCCTTAGCATATCAACGAAAGGAGCTAATAAAACGCACAACCAGGCATAAGACAGAGCGTAGAGAGCGGACGGTGTAGAATGGGGAGGGGGGCATACTTGAATGTATGTAAGTGCTATATGGCTGTCTGTCTGCCTGTCTGTTAGTCTGTCTGTCAAATGAAATGCTTCAATGCGATGAAAATGGGCAAACTGCTTCCTGTTGTTGTTGCTGCTGTTATACCACGTAGCCTTTAAAAAGTGAGTGAAACCGGGTATAATAACTATTGCAAAATCAACGATACTTTGAGTTGAGCTGAACGTCGAGCTTATTCGAACTGTTGATGCATGTGTCTGTTAATCTTTGATAGCACGTTTTTTGTAACTTATCCGATTGACTTCTAATCAATTTTTAAATATCTAAGGACATTTTCATTACAGTTTCCTCGGTCGGGGAATGGATGAAAAATTAATCTCTAAATTAAAAGAAAAAAAGTGCTGGGTAATACCCGCTAGCATCGTATATATTACTGATTTCAAACTTTTAAAATCTTTCACTATTTTCTGCATACGACTCCTTAAGCTTTTTATTTCTAACACTATCATATTTTCGATAACTACCATTTCGTCATTCCTACCATATCGATAAGTATCGATTTTCAATCTTTCTTTATTGAGAATATATCATCGAAAGCTAGGTTCACAGAGGTTTATAATCCTAACATATAAAATTTGTTTTGGGCTTACTTTATTTGTGGTATATGTTTCCGCTCTTAACAATTATGTAAATGATGCAAAAATGGTAAAGTTATAAAAAACTTTTCTATAAGCGCAAGAATTTGGGTATAATGGAATCATGGAATAAAATGTAATTTGTCGAGTTTTATATTTACAAACATGGCTGGAAATATTCGATTTTGCCTGTGCGACGTTTTTTCTCTGTGATTCAACACGAATATGTGTTGGGACACAGAGTATTTTTTGGTCGAGCAACATTAAATTGTAACTAATGTTGGGCTGTTGCTGCTGTGCATTATGATTGCGGCGTCTTCGTCTGCGTCTTCCTGCTTCAGCATTTTCGTGGCTGCCGCGTTACTTTTGCAACTGGCTGGAGCCGCCTGTGGCTGGAGTCGGTGCCGGATTTAAATGGATTTCAAGCTGCTAAATAGCTAAAATTTTATAATTTAAATGGATGCGGCAGCGAGGGCGATGGAGGGCGGCTTGGATTTAAGCTTCGGCTTGAGGCACTTCAACTTGCGCAAGCAAACACTCAAGCAAATGAGCACACACACACACACTACACGAACACACACACACACTCGCTGACATATGTACGCAGTGGCAGTTACAGGCAGGCACAGTGCCAACCGTCGCACTATTTAGGTCAGTCACATTAGACAGGCGTCGGGCTGGCAAGCAGCTAGCCAACGCCCCGCCCTACGACGACTGCATATGTACATCTATATATACACACACACACAATTTTAAACATATATATTTAAATAAACAGCCCATCCACCCACCCACAAGCATCCGGCTTTAGAGCCATGCATAATTCTAATGAGCATTTTTTAGCCGCCGCTTAGACATCAACGCGCATTTAATGAAAATGCGGAAAAATTTTAATATTTCATAGCCTGAAATAGTTGAGAACGGCGCCAGCGCATATAAGAGTGGAGTGGAGAGTGGAGAGGGGAGAGGGGAGTGGAGGGTAGGGCAGATAATTACCGTTGCCCTTTAATTGCGCTTTTGATAAAGTACTTTAGGTCCACAACAAATGGGATTTGCCAGAGTTTTACTTTGTTCCCCAAAAACAAAGCATAAAGAAAAGATAAAGACAAGAGGGACTGAGGGATGGAGAGAGCAAAGAGAGAGGGATAGAACGAGCAAGACAGTCCAACAAGTCCGCAATGTCAACAAACGTATTTAAATAAAAAAGTCGTTAAGCCAAGTGGACGCAAAAACAAAGATGAAGAAAACGACACCAAAGGAAGAGGAGCCAACGGCAGCGGCAGTTGGAAAATAATTTTAAATTAAATAAAAGAGCTGGCTGCATTAGCGCAATGAGCGCCTCAGACATGCATTTTCTCTCAAAGCACGAAACCCCTTTATTACGTACATATCTGTAATGCATATACGTATACATGTATGTATATACATACGTATATGAACATAAGCACTTCTATAAAATTACAGCCCAGGTTCTCTCTCTCCTTCTCTCTCTCTTCCTGTCTCTCTTTCTGAAAACAAAACAGCAAAAGGCATCTTGTACGTCAGTTTTTGCTACAACGTCATCAAATGGATTAAAAGCAGCACAAAATAAACTATAAGAAAAAGCGATAAATAGATACCCTTTTCTTGTGGTAACTGCTTTTTCATATATAAATTCACCTTAAATTCTATCTTGGCTTGCATTCTATAAATGTTTTTAATATTACAATATTCTTATGAATTAAATATGGAAATTAATGTGACTATGAAACATCAAATGAACATGAATATGAATAGGTTGCCAATATAAATTTAAATATGAAACTTTACATACTTTATAGCGACCTTAAAAGCTATTTAATAAATAAAATATCTAACTTAAACATACTTTATATATAAATGAAATCAAATATGTACAGGTAGGTCCATATGAACATGAACATGAATATGTTTGGCAATATGAAAAGGATTATGAATGAATTACCCGGTGACACAATAAATCAAATGAATAATGCCGAAAATGCAAGTCATGTCAACTTCATTGTTCGAATTGTCACCTCGCGTAAATTATTATATAGCACAAACAACATCTGTTTTATAATATTACAAAATAAACACATACTTTTTTAAATTTAAACTACAAAAAATCGTGTCTTCACGGAGTTTGATCTTTAAACTTCTAGTCGACATATGACACCATTGCAGTAGACAAAGCAAACAAAACAAAAGAACAATTTAAATTATTACTGTCAAAACACATTAATTTTAAATTTCTTTGTTTTTTTATTTTTATTATTATTGCATTTTTCTTGGTGAATAATATAACAAATTGAATAAACAAATCTAAAAACGGAATAAAAGTGAAATTTGGACCGACAACCTGCCGTTTGTTTGGAATGCACATTTTTATGACTGGGTTATTTTTAATGTTTCTGCTACAAACTTTGTTTTTTAAAAATAACCCCGTTCTCCGTCCTTCTCGGGGGTTCGAGCCTTAAAGCTTTTTGCTCGGTTTTTCGGAGCTTACTTAATCAACTGTAAATCAAAATATGAATATGAATGTGAGTAGGCCAAAAAAACGGCAAATGTCAAGAGGCAGTCAAGCATAGCCGAAAGGGTTTCAGTGTAAAGGGTATACAATGCAAGGCATGCGAATAATAGCACTGGGAGCTGGCAGGCCACAAAGGAGAATCTTCACACTTGACCCTTGTGCGCGCTGAGGGCTCAAGAATTTAATTAATTAATTGTGTTGTTTCGCACACAGTTAAGTCATGTGGCAAGGGCGGGGCAGTTGTTCTAGTCTAAAGGGAGCTGATAAATGGGTCAAGCAGCTACCAGAGGGGCTCAGCGCAGAGAGTAGAACAGAAAGTGATTAAAAGCTATACCAAACCCATTCGCACACATTTAGTAGGCTATTACACATGCTGAAGATAGTTTTCCACGCACTTATAAACAACCGAAGTGCTGAAAGCTGAAATTACAAATAAATAACATTACGCTGGGCATAAAGTTATCTAGCTGCGATTCATATGTATATCAATCCATTGATGTGAGCCACGCCCACAGGAAACGTGTCCTCAATGTCAATCAGATGTCATTAGACGACGCACTAAATGCTGGAGTTGGCCACGGAATGCGCAATACTTTAACAAAACAGTTGTGAGCTACTTTTCCTCTCCCGTTGAGTAGCAAATCAAATGTAAAATTCTTGCTCAACGATCTTCATTCTCTGGTTGACGAGCAGCTTTTCATTACTGCATCTGACATCATGTTTTCCTACGGACACACGAGCACACACACACACACACACACACACACACACACACACACATGCGCGCACAAATATGTATGCAAACACATACTCAAGCAGAACTTATATGAGAACGTGTTAGCATGTTGCTGAAACGAGCAACATGCAGTTCTATACCCTTTGCTTAGAGGGTATATTTGTTTGGTATATAAATAAGTTGTTTTGTAAGAAAAGAAAATCTTTATAGAAACGAACCTTTGCACTGACAGACAGAGTCTAGCTTAGCTTTTACTGGAATGTTGAAGATTACGCTTTTAATAAATCCACCCATATGGGTGGAAAACAGATGAAAAATCCTTTAATTAAAACTGTTGTGCAACTGTCAAACGCCCTTTAA